TTTAAAATGGTTTTTTTTTTATTGGAATGTGTTTTTAAAAATGTTTTTATTTGTGAGCCACCCTGGGCCCCTTTGTGGGAGAAAGGCAGTATAAAAATAAAAATAAAATAAAAGGAATTTTATGTGACATAAGTTTTTGTGGACTGTCAAAAACATACATATATCCCTTCTCCTGAAATCATCATCATCATCATCATCATCATCATCATCATCATCATCATCATCATCATTTTTTAGCAATAAAATTAAAACTATTATTAAATGCCCATCATTTAAATGCCAGCCACAAACACTTCATTTTTTCCAACTCTTAAATACAATCCCTAAATGATTTTTATTTTCAATCCATCAGATGCAGGGTGACCAGAGGGCCTCCTTTTCCAGGACATGTCCTACATTTCAACCTTCTGTCCAGGAGTAATTTCAAAACGTCTCCCATTTTGAGCAGGACCAAGAAGCATCAATTGAGCTTTATATTTGTGTTTTTAACTTCTGTTTGGTAATGCCCTCCATTTTCCCTGGAGTGTCCTACATTTTGCAACGCCTTGTCCTCCTTTGCAGTGACACAGGACATCGGGTCAACCTGATCCAATGTATTACAAATGTCCCAAAGCTGCCCTTGTATTATTTATTCTCTTGCATAGGAGACCTCAACCTTTTCACAACCAGGATTCACCTTTAAACATAGGACAAAATCCAATGGATGCTGAAGTCCCATTGGATACAGTGGCATCGTAAAATGGCGTCCCTTCTATAAAATGGCACAATCAAGGTTTGCTTTTTGGAAGGTCTATATTTTAAAAAATATTTTCAAGCCAAGGGCGGTTGAATCCGTGGATGAGAGAGAAATCTGTGGATATGGGGGTCCGACTAATAACTTTGTGTAAGAGTTGCCTCTGATGCTGAAGTCCCATTGAATACAGTGGCATAGTAAAATGGTGTCCCTTGTAAAAAAAAAAAAGAAAGGGGGGGCAAAATCAAAGTTTGCTTTATAGAATTTTTTGACTATTTTCAAGCCATGGATGGTTAAACCCGTGCATAAAGAATCGACGGATACAGAGGGCCAAATGTACCAATCATTCAAGCAAACTTGTTGTTCCAATACAGAGAATGTATTTCGCTGTTTGGAAATCAGGTCTGAAACTGGACCAAAAGGGACTATTCTCAGAGTAAGGTGAAGGGACTATTCCTTTTCACTTATTTAAGGAGATGGAATAAGGAATACAGTGAGCATCCACTGGGCTTTGATTCCAAAATCTCCCATGGATTCCAACATCTGTGAATCCTGAAGTCCCATTATATACAACGGCATAGTAAAATGGCATCCCTTTTATAAATGTGAAAGTGTTAATATTTCAATACATTCATTTATATAAATTCTTACACAATTAAGTTTTCTTTACAGTATTGCAGTATAAGGGTCCAATCTTGTTCAACTTTTTCTAAATTTTGCTTATTCAATCTTTCTGTGAGTAATAATAATAATAAATAATAAAATTTATTTATATACCGCCCAATGGTTGCCCAATCAGGGCAGTTTACAGCATAAAACACAATTACAATAAAGAACAATTCCCCCCCTTAAAACATTATTAAACCATAACATGATTAAAATCCAATTATCAATTAAAACAAAATAAACAAAATAAAATAATCATAATTAAATGATTGAAACTCCACCATATACGAGAGAAAAGGCTTACATGTATGGCAAACCATAACTTAGTTTTTTTTAGAATTAAACTTAAAGTTTAAATACATCATCATGTATGTTTAAAAATCTGTAAACATTATAAAGCCTTTTGCAATCAGTTCTTTCCTCTCGAGTTATATCCATACTCATCATTTCAGTAAGTTTTGTGAGCCATTCGTTAATTGAAGGAATTTCCATCAGCTGCCATTTCTTTGCTAATATGTACTGAAATATTAATATAAATGTGCCGTGATATCAATGAAATATAAATATAAATATAAATGATCAAAGATGTTAAAGGTAACGTTATAACACACAGAGGATATAAATAATACATTGATCGTGAAGACAATAAGAGTAAGTTGAAAAATAGTTGAGGACAAACTGGAGGTTCAGTGGGAGTCAATTGTATATATGTAAATATAAATTGTAAAATGATATTAATATTTCATTGTAATGCGTATGTGAAAGAAAAGTACTTTTTAATAAAAATTCAAATTAAAAAAAAAGTGTCAGAGGTGTGCATGTGGGTGTGTGTTGGGTGCCTTCAAGTAGTTTCCAACTTATGGCGACCCTAAGGCAAACCTATCGTGAGATTTCTTGGCAAAATTTGTTCAGAGGTTTGCCATGGCCTTCCCCTGAGGTTGAGAGAGTGTGACTTGTCCAAGGTCGCGCACTGGGTTTCATGGCCAAGCAGGGAATTGAACCCTGGTCTTCAGAGTCGCAGTTCAGCACTAAAACCACTATGCCATATAGGCTAGAAGTAATAGGAGAGGAGGGTTGGGATGTAGAAACTGAGAGATTTAATGGGGAAAGGATAATGAAGAAAGGAAAAGGAAGGGTAACAGAAAGGAAATGTTGGGAAGTTTAAAAAGTGAAAATGAAGAAAAGCACGAGAAATGAGGATAGTATGAGAGAATATGTAAAGATGAAGTACGATTATATAAGAATAAAGGATAAAATGTTATACAATCTACATGGAAATAATGCATTGGAGTGAGTAATGAGATGTCTATATAGCATGTAAATACTTATGTTTTGCACTCAATAATGAAAAAAATAAAAGGAAAAAATGTAAAAGGACAAAATCAGTTTGCTTTTTTGATCATTTTCAAGCCATGGATGGTTTGATTTGTAGAATCTGTGGACACAGATTGATTTTAAGAGGTTCTAAGTCCTGCTTTATGTAGGAATCTGCAAGTAGAGCATTCTGATATCTCACAGTGAAAATAAATACATAAATAAATGGGTGCTGGTGATATTTAATAAGAAATAAAATCTACATACACACACCAGTAACTGATGTTTGCTCCACTTTTGAGATAGGGAAGGATACTGTTTAGAAACTTGGTTCTCAAGCTTTGATTTTCCAGGTGTTTTGAATTCCCAGAAGCCTCAGACTTCTCAAAGACGAGAAGTGCTTATTTAGACTGTCCAGTAAAAGGCACAGGAGATAACAGAGTGACATCAACAAAATTTCAGGTACCTACCCACAATTGCTGTTGTGTGTTTTCAAGTCATTTCTGACTTATGACAAATAAAAGGTGAACCTATCATGGGGTTTTCTTGGTAGGTTTCTTCAGGAGCTTTGCCATTGTCATCCTCTGAGGTTGAGAGAGTGTGACTTGCCCAAGGTCACCCAGTGGGTTTCTATGGTCAAGATGGGATTCAAACCCTGGTTCCAGAGTCATAGTCCAATGCTCAAATCATTCCATCATGCTGGCTCTCCTACTGATACTATGCTTATACAATGGAAGATAGAGGCCAACTGCTTGCATTACAGGCTGCAATGTGTAACTTTAACATCACAGAGCTATATTCCTAACATGATCATGGAACTATGTTAGAGAACTGCAACAATGCACAAAGGGCCACCGGAGGGGTCTCACTGTTCAGTGTCCCACAGCAGGTGAAGACATTTTTCTAGCTGGGTGCAGGGCACTCAATGACTTTCCACAGCTGTTCTGCATTATTAATACTGTTTTTCTGTTGGATGCCATTGTGCTGCCTTTCCTTGTGTTGTCCATGCACAAGGCAGCTTGTCCTACAAAGTGTCATACCCTTGCACACTGTGTCTGTTTGCAACAGCCACATTACTTGCTCTGTTTGTGCGATGGTCCCAATGGCACAGCTTTGACAATACTCCCCCTCCTGGGAGTAGCCCAATGCCCAAAGCACTACACCACCCTGGCTCACAATACTACATACACCAATGTTTTATTTAAAAACCTATTATTTACTTAATATATATATATATTTAAAAAGTCAATTGAAGCATATATAATGTTTTTATATACAAAAATATCTGTAAAGACACTATAAATCGTGCAAAATCAGTTCTTTTGATTCATTTTGTGCAGCTACTTAGAATCCCACTATAAATGTCCATTTGCATCTGGTTCATGGGAACCCTCCTTCAGCTGCTCCACTGTGCATCCACTGACGGTGTGTGCTTTGCCCGAGCTTGTGACATGAGCTTTTGCCTAAGCTGTCGAACTTCGGCCATCAATTCCCGCTCTTGAGTTTCCAAATCTTGCCGTCCTCGATCTAAAGAAACTTGAAAGAAAAGATGGGAATTAAAATGTAAGCATTTAGGAAACCAAAGCATGAAAATACATATTTCGGGATCCAAGTGCAATCACAGATCTTTACAGTACTAACTTTTGGAACTTCTGAAAGAGGTTGGGGCATCGCTTGCCCTTGTCAAGCAGCTACTACCTCTCACTAACCCCATAGCCCAGGGGTAGGCAACCTTTCCCCTTTAAGGGCCGAGGGACTTCAGCTCCCAGAATCCCAGGAGCTATTGGCCAACATGGGACTATTGGCCAACATGGCTGAGGCTTCTGGGAGCTGAAGTCCCTCGGCCCTTAAAGGGGAAAGGTTGCCTATCCCTGCCATAGCCCCTTCAGGCCTGGCTAATAGGTTTTAAGTCATCATCACCATTACTATCACCATTATCATCTTTATTTATACCTTGTCTTTTCCCCCAAGATTGGAACTCAAGTTGGCTTCAAAATTAAAATAATTACAATGTAGTTAAAAACAAACAAAAGGTTGACATTAAAATAGAATTAAACTATTACTGATATTAAAACAATTTAAGTCATACACTTTAAAAGGGTGAATAAGTTAAAACAGTACAACTTAAACTAGTATAGAATGATAGAGGTGGAAGACATCTCAAGGCCACCCAGCCCAACCCTGAGCCATGGAGGAAGACACATTCAAAGCACTCCCAACAGATGGCCATCCTGCCTGTGTTTAAAAACCTCCAAAGAAGGAGACTTCACCACACTCCGAGGAAGCAGATTCAACTGTTCTTACTGTCAGGAACTTCTTCCTAATGTTGAGGTGGAATTTCTTTTCCTGTAGCTTGAATCCACTGTTCTGGCTCCTATTCTCTGGAGCAGCAGAAAACAAGCTTGCTCTATCCTGAGTATTACATTCTTTTAAATATTTAAACACTGGTATAATGTCATCTCTTAACCTTCTCTTCCCCAGGCTAAACATATTAGTGTTATTGTTATTATTATTTACTTATATCCCTCCTTTGCCCAATATAAGAACTCAAACACACATGTATTCTCTGAAGATGCCAGCCACAGATGCTGGCGAAACGCCAGAAAGAAACTCTTCTAGAACATGGCCACACAGTCTGAAACACCCACAACCCCCCCCCCCCAAAAAACCTACACATGTATTTCTTCCCCACTTCGGACTTGGTAACTGAGGGGTGACATGACCACCAGGCAATGGATAAGCTCAAGGCATGGTGCCCACTGTAGAACTGTGGGATCCAGTGCCACCATCCTACCGTATATTTACTCTCTACCAAAAGTATGCAGGTTCTTGGGCAATATAACTTTACAGTGCTACAAACTCTAAGCAAGCAGAGGGGGAAAACATACTATAAAGATTTCCCAGGTTTTTAAGGTATCTTTTCCCAAAGGCTGCTAATAAAAGCTAGCATTCTTGCGATGGGAAAGACTGCTGCTTAAGATACTTATTGAGAGGGCTTATGTGAAATAGTTAAACTGGACTCGAACGTCAGACCAGCCTTTAAGCCATTCTATGGCAGGCAAATGACGAACAGCTTGCATAAGGGGGTACTGGATACCTCCTTAAACAAGTATGTAAGTTGTACAACCATTGGCACAACCTGGAGTTATGCTGGTGTTAATACCCCAACAGGACCCTGGCCACTGTCTAAGTGCCTGAACCTGTCTCTGCATGAAGACAAGAAAAGGAAGGACACAATGTTTATGTTATGAATTTGGCTAGCTCAAGCAAATCACATTGGAACAGCACATCTGAAATAAGAAGAAAATCTGAAATAAATAAGAAGAAAATCTGAAATAAATAAGAAAATGAAAAAATATGGTTAACAGTGAATCATATCTCTAAGCAGGAAAAGAGACATGAATCTGACTGAGCAAAGGAAATTTTAAGAGCCAAACTAGATACTTTGTATAAAGGTAAAAGTAAAAGTAGGGGGGGGTGCAGACTGCCAGAAATAGTGCAAATTGAGTCCACTGTTAGGGTTAGGGAATCATGGGAACTGTATTTTATTGTGGCACCAGAGCTCTCTGACAGAGAAGGCTCAATGTCTCAGAAAAAAAAGTTCCCATGATTCCCTAGCACTAACCCTAACCCTAAAAGTGGACTCAATTTGCACTATTTCTGGCAGTCTGCAACCCCCTTACTTTTACCTTTACCTTTATACAAGGACTACTCTGGTGGTCATGTGGCCAGCATGACTACACCGAAGGCTATTACCTCCCCACTGAGAAGTGGTACCTATTTATCTACTTGCATTTACATGCTTTTGAACTGCTAGGGTGTCAGAAGCTGGGGCTAGTGACGGGAGCTCACCCCATCATGCAGCACTCGGGCCTTGAACTGCCAACCTTCCGATCATCAGAACTGGAGTCTTAACCACTAAGGCGCCCTATCCCTAGATACTTTGTATATATATGCATAACTAATTTCTCTAGAACAGGGGTAGGCAACCTTTTTGAGCCGGGGGCCGGGTTGCTGTCCCTCAGACAATTGGGGGGTCGAAGCACAATCAATCAATCAATCAATCAATCAATCAATCAATCAATCAATGCACTCTCTCTCAGCCTCAGAAAAGCCATGGCAAAACCCCTGTTGAGATTTTGCCAAGAAAACCCCAAGAACAAGTAATAACAATAATCAATATCATCATGGCAGGCGGCGGGGGGTGGCAGCAGGACTGGCCTGGGGCCGGTCCAAAGGCCTCAGGGGGCCACATCCGGTCCCCGGGCCTTAGGTTGCCTACCCCTGCTCTAGAAGTTTTCCATGATTTTTCCCCTTGAAATTGCTGGTGTGGAGATACGAGCTAGATTGGGACTGTGCTGGAGTTTTGGAAAGTACACCACATGATCTTGATGGAAGAAAAGCTCGCCCTTCCATAATGGCTATTTGTTAATAAAATAAAAATAATCTAGGTAAATTGTGACAAACATGTTGCCAGGTTTGGCTCTAAGAGACTCTATATTACCTACTTACAATGTGCTGAAGAATCTACTACCGATGAATCATTCAAGCAGGTGTTGCCAGGCTGAGACTGAGTTTTGCTGGATGCCTGATGGAATTCCAAACCCTGCCGAGGATGGGAGGCTCTCAGATCACGCAGTCTCTCTATAGAAAACAAGAAAATAAACTGTATACTGTATTCTGTGGTTCAGAGTATACTACTGAGGTGCACTTGGTTTAAAATAGAGCAAGCATTTTC